ATATATTATGAGTCATTATTATAGTCATATTCCTCCATTGACGTCCATTGAAAAATATTTGCAGATATCTCTAAATGAGTTTTGATTAGTCACAATTGTAATTAGAGATATCTCCAAATGAATTTTGACTATATAGACTATTATACTATATTGAGATATCTCTAATTACGGTTGTGACTATATTTAGAGATATCTGCTAATATTTTTCAATGGAAGTCAATGGAGGAATATGACTAGTCAGTCATAATATATTTGCAGATATCTCCAATCTGACTAGTCAAATTATAATTATGACTAGTAAAAATATAATTAGAGATATCTTTAAATATATTTATGGATAGTCAGAACAAGGTTTAAATGCTAAAACGGCTTGCCATACGCTCACACCCAGTAGCACAGTGGAGATTTCTCTAGTTATACCATTTCAGTCGTTTGATATCCAGTGACATGCAGTCAAATATTTCGCCAAACAGTCTTTAGGGATGCGGTGACACGCAGTCAGATATTTCGCCGAACAGATCCGCCACTTTTGGCGCTCATAAACAATCATAAAGCTCTCGTGCTGCAGGAATGAGGAGGTCTGCTGAAGGCGCGCAGCTGACGTGCTGTGAGAGGTTTGCGTCTTTAATAAACTACGGCAGTTTGCGTTCACTGAACAGTAAGAATGATTAATAATTTTTTATGAAACAACCCCAAAAGTCACGTATCGCTTTCAGTTTCGGGCTTTGGCGCGTTTTACAAAGCCCAAGTGATCCGCGCTCTGGCACACCTCTTCCAACCGGGCCAGGGCCAGCCAAGTGAACCGTGCTTGAGCCCGATTCACGGCCCGAAACGGGCCTGGGCACGGTACGGATGGCATAGTGTGAGTAGGCCCTAAAGGCTGATTTATACTTCTGCGTCAAACGTCGGCGTATGCTACGGCGCTGACGCATAGCCCTTCGCCGTGGCCATCGCCGTCACTGACGTGCACCTCTCAAAAAATGTAACTACACGTCGCAACGACGCGTAGCGTAAGCTCTGTGATTGGTCGGCTTGGTAGCGCTGACGAGTCTGGGCGGGACCGAGAGCCGCGCGAATGGCACGAGCGATTGTTTACAAGTGTGAAGTCCCGTGAAGGAGCTCTGGATGAAAAGTTTTGTTTTGTGTTTACCTCATAGTTAAAGTTGTTGCACGTCCGCCGGTTCCTGACTCAAAATGAGCGAATTTGAGCCACTTGTACATCCCGGAAGTGTTCAGGAAAAGCAAAAAAGCAGAGAAGAAACTCGACACAGAGGAACATTAACACCTCACTGCCCACTAGCGTTTCGGAAGTGTTAATGCAGACCGACAGAGACAGCGCGCAGAAGTATAAATGCACAGCCACGCGCGTTGCCTGCGCCGTGGGTTACGCCGGTCACTTGACGCAGAAGTATAAATCAGGCTTAAGTGTGTATTTTTCACAAGCAGGTTTGCAACGGGGGCGGGGCGGAGGATCGGCGATGCTGGCTTAGCATCGTGTTGTCTGTCAGCCATCGGTGATGGATGATGGCATCGTCTATCGGCCCAACCCTATTTCACAGCCTTACTTAAAGAAGAACAAAATCTAAACTTTTTGTCTCTTTTTGACATAAATTCTATTGGATACAATCCAAGAATACAGAGTTTGAAATTAGGGCTGGGTGGTATAACGAGTTCTGGGAATATGATTCCCCAACGCGATGTGGGATTATCCAATATTGTTCATATCGATATGGTTTGAGGCCTAACGTGAGCATTCTGCGCAAAACGGACCACTCCAAGGTAGCACGCGAGCTCCACTTGCACAAACGTGAATGAGTCCATGAGTCATAGTCATACAAAAGATTTGTTTAAAATGAACGAATCACTCAAGAACGACCCATCAATACAAGCGACATGGAGGAGCGTGCAGTGCCCGTGTTATATCAAAATCTGACTCCCAGATAAATCTGACTCCCCCACACGAGCATGTGTCACACAGCGCCTGCAGCTGTCCCAGCAGTTTATCAGAAACCTCTTATCGATCATTTCTTCCCCAATTGAATGCAAGAATGAACATAGAAGCCTTGTCAAATTGACAAGCAGCATCTGAATGTGTTTAAAAGAATTAAAAACGCCAAAATGGGAGGAATTTATATCGCATTTAGAAAGTGAAACCACCTCATATTCACTGATTATATGTTCAGTATTCATTACACGACGGTCTCTTCTTTACATTTACGTTATAATACATTTAGCTCGACGTTCTGTTATTATGACTGTTTACATTTATATGCTTAACCAGCATTTCATCACAGTACTCTGACACAGTACTTCTTCTCGTATCTATTTGTTTTCATCTCTATTTAATATTTAGTACAAAGAGTTTGGTCAAAACAAAAGAAAAAGTGTAGGATTTTTTACAGTGAGTGAAAGATTTCTCTTTAGTTATCTTTGATATGTGCATCTGTTTAATAATTGTGCACAATACATGTAAATGTGTAACTAAAAAAACATATACAGCTGATTTACTTGTTGTTTATAAATCACACAACTGTGGTGTACAGGATTTCTAAAAACTAGGGCCAGACGGAATCTGCGGACGTTTTTTGCTGTTTCTGCAGAGAACTTTGGTAAAAGTCTGGATTTCTGCTGAATTATTTTTGGAGTATCATAACTAAAACCTTAATATATGAAATAAAAAATAATATCTTTTATTTAATGTTTAAAATCCAAATCCATTTAGATTCACTTTATTTATTAAATAAAGCAAGTTTGTCGTATAGCACATCTTGTAAAAGACAGAAAATAATACTGTACAAACTGCATTGTACATAAATCAGATGAACATTTTCACATTAGTCAATAATATCACTGAAATGAATAAAAAAAAAACTGAATAAAATATAGATTTACACACATTTACTCAAGTAAATAAACAGAATTAATGATGGGCTGAAAATCTGCGGAATTCTGCGCGCGCAGATTCCGGCTCGGCCTACTTATTACAACACTGTAATTGTAACTAGGGTTGTAACAATATACCAGTATGACGGTCTACCACGATTTGAATGTGCACGATTATCATACCATGAACAATTGCATATCAACGGTTTTAACCCTTAAAGACCGAGACAGCCGCCCGCGGCTAAAAATAAGTATTGCTCTTAAGTGTTTAATAACTTTTGATCCGCTGATCCGATTCATACAATTCAAAGATTGGCATAAAGAAGAGAATCTCAGCTGTCTCCAGTGCTGTATCACATAACATTCGCGGACTTTCAGAGGCTCCGGAATCAGTGCGGTTACGTCATCAACATTTGACAACGCTGATTTGACAAAGAAACGCTCGTCACTGTGTCTCCGGACAAATCAGACATGATACATTGATGCATTGTCCCTCCTCCATGCCCAGATTGGTTCAAACTCGCTATATCACAACCAATAAGCATAGGTTTCGCTTTTGTTTGTGGACCAAGCTTTTTGAACAACACGGAATGAGAGAAAGGCATACATTTATGTGCGGCTAAATAAAACGCCAAAAAAAAAGTTTTGCATGAAATAATTCTTATACTAAGTACTTTTGCATGCACAGCAGCACAGAAACATGACAAAACAGTGACACAGCAAAGACGAACTGCTGCTCTTGCTGTTTTCAAAAGACGCAAATGAAGGTGCAGCTGTTTATCTGCATTGCAAACAACCATTTCCAAATCCATTTCCACAGACAACCATATCCATGCTGGCACATAAAACCTAAGGATGTTCCATATTGAATCTAGTTTCGTTATGTAACTATTTATAGTATAGTAAATATTTATATCTATTTTTTTACTGAGGATTTGCACCATGTTTATTTGGACTTTATTTGGACTTTGACACATTATTTATTATTTTCTTATTTTTATTTGTTCATTGTAAGTGGTGTTGTTTATAGTAACTAAAAATATATTATTTGGAAAAAGTCAAATTTGCTTCACTGTTCTATTATTTTGTAACATTTGTAACATACCGTATACCGCGAAACCGTCAAACCGTGGTATTGTTTTAGACGATTATCAAACCGTGAAAAATTCATACCGTTACAACCCTAATTGTAACATAAAATACTGTGTTTAATATTTACATTCAATGTGGTTCTTTTGTATTCCACAATACTTTTTGTTGTGTTTCTATTTCAGTGTGTTTCTTTTTTATGTAGCTCTGTTTTGTATGGTTCTGTTTACTTTGTTATTTGCACAACAGCAATGTAGATCTGAGTATAGTGTTAAGCAGGAAAAAAAAACCTGTATTGTATTTATCAAAGATTTGGTTTATAATTTGAAATGTTGTGCAACAGTTTGAAGCAGGAGAAAAACCTTTATTTTATTTATCAAAGATTTTGTGCAGCTGTTTTTTTGTAAACAGGGAGGGAAACCCCTGTGTTTTGAATTATATTTTGCTTAAAAATGTTTATTAAAGTTTTAATTAAGGCTTTAACTCTCAAGTAACCATTTAGGGGAAAATATCGGATATATATTGTATACCATCATTCCTCCTAAAAATACCGGGATATGAGTTTTTGCCCTTATCGCCCAGCCCTATTTGACATTCAGAGAAATCTTGATATGAAATTTGTCTGACATGCATCAAATAACTTTAGTATACAAAATGTATACAATTTAATAATGTTCTTGGGGCGGCATGGTGGCTTAGTGGTTGTCACTGTTGCCTTGCTGTAAGGTTGCTGGTTCAAGACCAGCGGGGTCAGTTGGCATTTCTGTATGGAGTTTGCTTGTTCTCCCTGTGTTGGATTGGATTTGATGAACTAAATTAGTCGTAGTGTAGTAGTGTGTGTGTATGAATGTGAGAGTGTATGAGTGTTTTCCAATACTAAGTTGTGGCTGTAAGGGCAACCGCTGCGTAAAACATGCTGGAATAGTTGGCGGTTCATTCCACTGTGGCAACCCCTGAAATAGAGACTAAGCCGAAGAATAATGAATGAATGAATGAACTAATATTTTTTGTTTTTGTCTGTTCAACAGAGAAGCCTGCCATTGCTCCTCCAGTGTTTGTGTTTCAGAAGGACAAAGCACAGAAGGTATGTTTGCCCTGATTGGCAAATAAGTAATTATTTTAAAAATAATTTACTAAAAAAACAAAAATTTATATCATGCCTCCAAACCAATATGATTTTCATCTTGCAACATAAATGTTAAAGGAGACTTTTTTATGTAAAAGTCACTTGTGTAAGGGGTTTAAACAGTTGTGTGGCAACAGTTTGTGAATAATAGCAGCATGGTAAAAATGTATTAATTTTGTTATTTATAATCGCACAGATAAAAACAGTTTGCATAAACAATTTGATTGACATTCTCTCTTTGTACGTGTCATCAGAGGGGGAACACCCCGCCCACTAGTGACAATCTCTCCCTCGTTAGCAGAGAACATTAGTCCTGTTTTGAATCAGCTATTATGCTGACACATAGGCATTTGTAGCTCCGCCTTCTTTTCAAAAGAGCACAATCTCATTTGAATTTAAAGCAACAGTCACCAAAGGCTGCATTTACACTACAGATCTTGATGGTCAATTCCGATTTTGTCCCAATCTAATTTTATTGATAACCTGCACACTTTATCTTTTAAAAGCGACTCATATCTGATCTGCATTTACACTGCACACGGCAAAGGTGCAATGACCAGGAAAAAAAGAGGGGGCGCTGACTGACAGCTTATAATAAGAGCACTCTTTTCTCAGTTCCTATATTCAATCTGTTTGCAGGGTCTCTTTTTTTATTCTTTTTGACAAGCTGTTTTACTATAGTTTATGACAGAAAATTGTAGTTTGTTTGGCCATCTTCTTTTAAGTGTTACGAATTAAATAAAAAATCCTTAATCAAAAAGCAGTTTAACCAAAATATAACAAGATAACAGGGATTAAAAATATAATCCCTGGTGTCCCCGCTCTCTCTCCCCAAAATATAAACCCAAAAACACAACCACTGAGAATTAACAAGAAAATATGATTTATTTACAGAAAATACAGAGCAAAAATAACATTGGGAGGAGTTCAGCCAAAATAAATGACAATTAGCCAAGCAAACTAAATCAGAGTAAGCTTCCCTGGAACATCCTTGGAACACAGGAGAAAACGAAAATAATAAATTGAAGGCACCAAACCTCCCTACCATGTCTCCTTGCCAGACAGGGAGACAGAAAACAGGGTCTCTCCGGTTAGAATATACAACTTCTCATTGGCATCTTACAAAAGCCTTATAAGAGACGTCAGCAACAAAAACTCATTGTAATATCACTTGAGCACTAATATCTCCACAGAGAATAACGAATGAGGAATCAAGAGAGAGAGGGAAGCCTCTGAATCCATGCTCTCTGAGGTGTTAAATACAGTCGCTGCCGCCAATCCTAGCTCCAATTACAATCCGGCGTAATTCGCTGCACCTGCGTATAATTTGAAATGAGAGAGAGAGAGAGAGAAAAACACCACACAAACACTACACCACGACAACTACTCGTAACACCTTCCCACCAAAAAGATGCCCACCTAACTCAAACTTCAACTTCAGCACCATAAACTCTGGACAGCGCATCTGCAACCACATTTGGCAAACCTTTCTTATGCCATAAACCCAAATTAAATTGCTGGACTTTCAAAGACCATCGCATTAATCGCTGGTTTGAATTGCGCATTCTATCCAAAAAAAACAAGAGGATTATGATCAGTGTACACACGAATTGGTAACAAACTTCCACCCAAGAAACCACAAAATGTTACAACACCTTTTTAAACCAGTAGGTATTTAAATGTCATGTCCATGGCGTGATTTATGCCGTGATGTATGCAACAGTTTTATAATAGTTTATATTAATTACGTGGTGGATGTTGCTCTCGCGGGCGATGCAGTGGCGCAGTAGGTACTGCTGTCGCCTTACAGCAAGAAGGTTTCTGGGTCGCTGGTTCGAGCCTCGGCTCAGTTGGCGTTTCTGTGTGGAGTTTGCATGTTCTCCCTGATTTCATGTGGGTTTTCTCCGGGTGCTCCGGTTTCCCCCACAGTCCAAAGACGTGGTACAGGTGAATTGGGTAGGCTAAATTGTCTGTAGTGTATGAGTGTGTGTGTGTTAATGTGTCTGGATGTTTCCCAGAGATGGGTTGCGGCTGGAAGGGCATTTGCTGCGTAAAAACTTGCTGGATAAGTTGGCGGTTCATTCCGCTGTGGCGACTCCGGATTAATAAACAGACTAAGCCGACAAGAAAATAAATACATGTATTAATAAATACATCTCTCTCTCTCTCTCTCTCTCTCTCTCTCTCTCTCTCTCTCTCTCTCTCTCTCAGTTTTCAGTTCAGTTCAAGTTGCTTTATTGGCATGACATTAAATACAGTATTGCCAAAGCATTTCAAATATAAAACATATTAAAACCATTGAAAATAATACTTAATAGTAATACAGATAAGATATAATGACAAAAAAAAAAACAATACATTTGATAAATATAATAATAATAATAGTAAAAAGTTAAAATTATTTAAATAAGACACAAATTTACATTAACCATTTCTTATGGTGTGTAGGGTGTATACATATTTTGCAGCTAGTCTAAATGTCAATTCGTCCTCTCCGAGTATATGGTAAAGTTTTTCTGAGTCATTTAAATTAAAAATCTCTCTCTCTCTCTCTCTCTAACATGCTTAAATACTTGTTACCCAACAATAAATTTTTTTTTGTCCTTGTGTATGAGATTTAAGGTTTGCGACTCTGCTGAAGGCTGTTCTGAAATGAAAGCGTCAGACGACAGACTTGACTTCATTCACTATGGTCTTTAATGACGCACAACTCGCATTGACAGATGAAAATCCGATCTACCTGCTTAAGCTGGATTTATTCTTTCGCCTGGCGCCACATGGCGCACCTCCACTGACTGCGCGTGCACTTTGCGAAATGGACAAGGCTTTTATACTTGCTGCGTTCAGCGGTGTGATATTCTTTAAAACGACAGGGTGTAACTTACCGTAAAATCAGACGGATAAATAGAGAAGTAGGAAGTTTCTAGAACTGCGTCATGTCATATTATTATCATTCAATATTGTTTAACTAATTATTTTTTATTATTTTTTTAAATTATTTGAATGATTATAAGGGTTTTTATAACCGTTCAAGACTTTTTTTTAACCATCAAACTTTAATGCATCACTTGCTTTTGTTCATATCTCGGACAGTTTTACCTGTTAAAGTTTATTTAAAATATTAATAACAAGAGAAAAGGGGTCACTCTACAAATAATACAAAAATATATATTTTTTATTATGGCAATAATAAAAGCAAAAAAAGAAAACTTACTAAAAAATACAGATTTTTTTTTAGATTTAGCCCGCTCCACATTTTACACATGTCTGTCTGGCTAGTTTCTGTCCTATACTTATGGGAAAAAGACAATAATGGTCCAACATTCCTGACCATTATCACCAATAAAGTCTAGAGAAATAGGCCATTAGTATATTGTAAACCGATTTACAAGGTTTAATATCCCTTCCCAGTTATCAAAGAAATAATTCTGTGAATTCATTATAGTTTTTAAATATTAAATTGTTTTAAATTCAAAATTGCAATTATATAAATCTGTGTTAAATCTATAAATGGTAAAAAAGATATTTGGTAATTGTGTACCTGGGCCTCTTTTGTTTTTAACAAACTTATCCCTCAGGTTTTTCCCAAACCTCTTAACAAAAAGTTTCTCCTTTCCCACGGCTGTTGCAATTTCTAGCGAAGAATCATTGCTCATTAGGTTATCTCTATGATCATGGATCATAACGATGTCTGTACAGTCGTTCTGTTTTAGACAAAATCTGTTCAGAGTGTTTCATATTCAACTCAAATCAGTTGCGGAGCTGCACACACTGTCCGCTCGAGTCCCAAAGCGAACATCCACAAATTCCACGATGATGTCACATTTGCTGCGCTCACTCAAGCTAACAAGTGGTTGTGTCGAGTATAAACCAGACTTTACTCTGCAGACATAAGGGTACGGATCCGATTCATATCAGATGAATTTCCACATATGAACAAGGCCTCATTCTGATTTGAGTAAATCAGAGTCCATGTGATTTTTTTTTTGTTTTTTTTTTGCTTAAATGTACACAGGCCATATCCGATATGTGCTACATGGGAGAAATCAATCAGAATAGTCACCTGAACCATGCAGTGTAAATGCAGCCAAAATGGCACTATTAGGATCAAAGCCTAAAAGGGACGGTTTCTAAGAGCTATAAAACGCTATCTGTGTGGTAGAGCTGCATGATTCTGGCTAAAACGAGAATCACATTTTTTTTTGCTTAAAATAAAGATCACGAGTTTCTCACGATTATGTAGATGTAAAATAAAGGTATGGTAAAAACAAACACATGGCACAACCTCGATAATAATATTATGTGTAGGTCTACTGGTTTCTATAAATAATTCTATTCTATATTAATCTATTCTTATAATAATTCTGATGTTGAATTATTATGTTTGAGATATTTGCTTGCAATCTGTCATATTAGACAAATTCACTGGTAAAATCAGAAATTTGCCATTATCAGATTATATTCAACAATATATAGGCTAGAGTAGTTAAACTGACATTGTAAACATTTATTTTCATGCACAACTGTGTGATCGCTATGAAAGAAAAAACATATCAAATGCTTGTCGTAATCATAACTCTAAAATGCGGTATGATCATTTAAATGAGGTGCACACTTTCGGTTTCATTTTGACTGCTTATTACTTGTTTATGCTTCGCACGCGACTCCCAAACGATCACGCTGTGCCACAAACTGAATATTATTTACAACTGTATTACCTGTTACTCGCAACATATGCAGGTTCTGTTCACTAAAGTAGACGCGCGCGCGTCTATCACTAAGTAGAGCGCGCGCGCCCGCCCTCTCTGTGATAACAGCTCACGGTCAGCAGCTCACGTCACGTGTGATTTCCTAATCTCAAAAAAAATCATTATATTAAAACAAAAATGACATTTTTAGGTGAATTATACCTTATAAATACAGTATGTGACTCATTCAACATCATTTGGAGGTGTCAATGTCTCTGAGCAAAGTGTGTGAAACAATGAAAAGACTCGTGCAGCCGCCTTTTCTTCTCTCCTGAACTTGAAAATATGATTGGCAGAATCCTAGAAATGCTGGATTAAGATCGTCTAGGGGGTCGAATCGAGATCGCGATCTTTTAACGATTAACTGTGCAGCTCTACTGTGTGGTATTTTGAGCTGAAACTTCATATACACACTCTAGGGACATCAGAGACTTATTTTACACCTTGTTCAAAATCGCATAAAACGTCCCCTTTAAGGTTAAGCAAGATTTCAATTGTTACACATTACACATTTAGAGCCCAGACTTGCTTAAAAATACAGCAGCACTGAAAGGCACTCGCGTCCACCATTATCTCAACCAACAGGAAGTCCTGTTTCAAACTCGAGCTGTTTTTTTTGAGCAAATGTAGCTATAATGGGCTGCTCAAACAAACAGTTGCATTTCCATTTTGGTGGATGAGAGATGAATTGCTGCAGCTTTGAGTTCGTACTTCCCCACACTAAGCAAAGCCTCTTTCCATAATAACCTGAGGATGTTATGATGGAAGGCACTTGCTTGGAAATATTTAATTTAGCTTTGAGTTTTATTGCAATAACAAAGAAGACATTATTCAATAAACACTCAGGCGAGGCTTGAAATGAGGACTAAATTTCAGCATTGGCGAGTAAATTCAGCAGGTTTGGCTGGCGGTGAGATGATTTTCAGCTGCAGACTGACTAACAAATATACAAATCACACTCAAAACGTGATTTCCCCGAAGTATTTTGAGCAAATTAAACAAACTTGGCATTTCAAACTGGACCGTTTTGGCCCCGGGGAGAAATTATTCAAAAACAGGCCTGTTTGATATTGTTGTTTTCCACTGTGTACTGTGTTTCCCTGTGATGTAGTCCAGCTTTGTGAGACCAAATAATAGTTTTATTAACATTTTTTTTATCATCTTGCAGAGATCCGCTGATGGGTCGAGTGCAGAGGACGGAGACGGTGAGTTTGACAAGACTTTGTTCATATTTTTAGGATGCACCAACACCGTTTTGTCAGTAAATATTCTGGACAATACATGATTGACGCATTCCACCAAGCGGTCTACTCAATGCATGTTTTGTTATATGTATGACCATTATGCTCATGTCCCACATTTATTTACAGCATTTTTTAAGACGTGTGTCAAGTTTCATCTTTTAAACACATTATTGGTCATCAATGTCAAAGCAGGGAACCAATCAGAGGAACTCAGAGGCGGGGCAAACCTTGGAAGCTTTTGTGTATAGAGTGGAGAAACCATGACTTCACCTTGTAGGCTAATCCCTATAGGATTTTCCCATAGGCTTTTCGAGGACTGCAAATAATGAGCTTTGGCCCCGTTTACACTAGTGCGTTTTAGTTTGAAAACGCATAAGTTTTGCTACGGTTACGCCATTCGTCCACACTACGCCGGAGTTCTCGAGCGCCGAAAACGGAGCTTTTTGAAAACGCTGGAGAGGCCGTTTTCATTCTAAAACGCTGCTGCTCCGTCTCAGTGTGGATGGGGAAAGACGGAGACATCTGAAAGCGGAGGCGGGGCTGCCGACGTTCGCCTATCTGATTGGGGCTTTTCCTCAATATTAAGTAGCCCACACACAGTTCAGTCTCGCATCCTCTTCTTGTAAGTTAAGACTTCGCAAGTTTGATCAAGGCTGCAGTCTCCCCCTTCTCAGTTTGATATGGAAAACATACAGAGGACACGGGTAAATCTTCAAAGGGAACAGTGTACTTTATAACTTCATTCACATCACCCTGGCTACGTTGTTTCACTTTCTCAACAATAAAATGTAAACATGATTTAAGGAACTGCCTATTTTCTTTTTAATATTAGCAACTTAACAGACAGCAGAAATGTTGAGGCGTCGTGCTGCATATATGGACGTCATCTTTACTGTGTGGATATTTATAACAAAACGGAGCCTATAACAACTGCCTCCTTTCAATTTCAGTGAAAATACGAAACGAACCCTCTCTTTTGCTGAATATCAGTTTTAATAATCGATAATTATAAAAGTATAACATACAATAAGTTTATACATTGTAGGAAATAAAGGCAAGCGATCAGTCAATGTACCTGGATTAATCATTAACTTATCTTTGCGCTTAACCAAAACATGTTACCCGTGAACAAGTAACTTAATAGATTCCAATGACCAAAGTCAGGGAGTTGGCCTATGTCGTTAGATAAAGACAACAACATGATTGAAATATCACGTTTAATAAATATAGTGAGATTAGATCCAGCGGGAGATGCGTGATGAGCAGTCCGACAAGCAGAGCTCTCATCTGGGTAGAAATGCTGGAGCGCTTGCCCGAGAGTGTGTGTGTGGTCACGTGATGTGCGTTTTCAGTGTTTTGGTGTGGACGGAGAGCTGTTCAGAAACGCTGGGTAAAACGCGAGTGAGGACGCGGATCGTTTTCATTCTACAACGCCGTTTTAAAACTAAAACGCACTAGTGTAAACGGGGCCTTTGTGTTCAAAACAGGTCATTACACTTACATGTTTTGTCCAAATGGATCATCCTCCCAAGCAAATAAAATCTTTTAGGAATTTTGGATCTTAAATGCAAACGCAAGAACTGAAAAGCTAACATTAGGCTACAACATTAAGCAGTTCATGGTTCTGCTCCAGGTTTCATTTTATTGGTGTTTAACAAGACATTACATCAAAGTATACAATACAACAGTGGTTCTCAAAGTGGGGGTCGGGACCCCCTGAGGGGTCGCGGGACAATGAAGGGGGGGTCGCCTGGTGATTTCTAAAAATCTATTTATTTTTATTAAGCCATAAGAATTACCATTTTAATCCATAACCTACTAAAAAAATAGTCGTTTACAGTTACTATATACACTACTGTATATAGTTACTATAGTAGCTTATAGTTACTAGTTCTATTGGATTGCGACCCCTCAGGTAATTACATTATATTAAAGACTCAGCAATAGCGTCAGATGCAGCAGATTGATTTTATAATACCAGGTTAAAGTTTATGGCACATTTACAGCACTGACATACATTAAAAAAATATAACGAAGAATAGACTTGGGTTTATTGGTGTGTGTGTGCGCCCCATTGCATGCAAGGTTTCTGTATTTATAACCACTTCAGAGGATATTGGGGGTCGCAAGTTACTGGCATTGTTGTTTTGGGGGTCGCAAGCTGAAAAGTTTGGGAACCCCTGCAATACAGCATAGGAAAAATTACAGATTGACTATTCATTCCTTCCTTTAGCCCTACGCCTTCAAGCTAATGAGAATTGGGACACCCCTACCCCTTGGCGTGCATGCGCAAAACGAGGAGTAGGGGTAAGGGGAAGGGCTAAGGGGTAGAATTGGGATTGGGCTTAAGTTACCTTTCTTGTAGAATGGTGCTTTAAATAAAGAACTTTGTTGACCTGATTGTTCGTTATTAATTGACAAGTTGGTATTGCCTATATGGATAAAAACAATTTTAAAACCGCTTTAAATTGCTATGCGAAAAAAATGGGTGCACTGAACTTTTGTTCTGAAGCACTTTAGAAAAAAAAAAAAAATTGGCGCACTAGCAGGGCTCGAAATTAACTTTTTTACTTGGTAGCACCGGTGCTCCCAACTTCAAATATTTAGGAGCACCAAAAAAAACTTAGGAGCACCAGAAAAAATTTAGGAGCACCCACCAAAAATGAATGAGCACAGCTGCAAATTGTTTTTTAAGGGATTTATTGTATTTTAAAACAACATTAATAGGACTGACAAAAACCAGAAACAACTATCTAACTAATGCTGCGAAGACATTGATATTTGTGTGCAATAATTCCAAAATGAATGTCTAATAATTAGGCCATAGAATATTAATGATGATAAAAAATGACAATAATAGTAACAATGAGATCCTTTTCTCATTATAATGCTGCCTTGAATGTGCATGAATGTAGGTTATCTGCTATAAAAAGTCTGTTACTTTATGAAAAATAAATGTATAGTTTGCATCAAACAAAAATGAAGCATTGCAGTAAGAAATATTTATTTTGTGCTGCTGTTTTTATATGCATGTCAATTTAATAAATAATATTTCTGCTACAAAACAAACAAAAGATTATAATAAATCATTAAATTCAATGATGAAAGCTGCAAAGCAGTCATCAGTAAATAAATAAAAAAATAATATACACCTCAAAAAAGAATAGACAAAAGAAAGTAAGTAAAGTCTCACTTCTATCACTCTTTAAAAGTTTTGGTTTCAGTTTGTGTCAATTTAAAGGTTCAGTCTGAGCTGATCTTCATTTTTCTGTGTTAGTGGAAAAGCTGGCGAGTCAGCCGACCCAATTTATGAGCAGGCAGAGCAGGATTCTTGCGCTAACCATCGGCGCAATACCAGTCTTTGTTATGAGCCGCAGTTTCAGTGTAAACTTAGTAAAGGCGAGCTTCTTTGGCGATGATATGTACAGTATTAGATTTGACTTTTAGCGGACATTTGCGCTGAACACGCAGTGAATGCAACGCATGGAGATTCGGGCACCTTCTCCAAGAAGCGCGTACTCGATTTATCTCAGCTGGCCGATCATTATTCACCACATGACGTGTCATGATCGCTTTCATCTGCGTCTCAACTTTAGGTGGGGTTTGCAAACCTGTGTGCTTTAAGTTTTTACTCTTCAGCCGTTTGCATTTCCCGTGGTCATAAAAGCTCCTTCCCTGTCATCTGACAGCGGAATACCGTGAGTGAATGACAGCTAATATGAACCAATATAGCGGCAGGGAAGAGCGATTCAGCACGTTTTTACAAAAAATCTAAACAGGTCGCACTACAACCATTATCTGCAGTCGCACTAATGCGCCCAAATATATTATGAGGTCGCATAGATTAATTTTCGGGCGCATATGCGACCAAAATGGTCGCAATTTCGAGCCCTGACTAGTGCAACCAATG